ATGTGTATTATTTTATATATCCAAAAAAGGGCCAGATTTCAGCTATATTTAAACCAAAAAGGAAATGAATCTCTGGAGTCTTGAGTCTATTCACACTTCATCTCTTTTCTGCCGTTTTCTCCAGAAGCACCACATAACTCTGTGCTTAATTGAGGATTCAAATGAGGTCAGAGCACAATGGGGCGTTCTCTCTGTTTCCTCAAGCATAAATAAACACAGCCGGGCATGAGAGAGAAAGAGAATATCACCCCCACAGGAGGCTGGATACAACGTACACTACAAGTAACAGACGCTCGCCTAGAGTTAACATGAAAACTCTCACCTCATCAGTGTCATCAGGGAAGTACACTTTGTGAAAGATCTGGGTCGTTTTGTGTTGAATGGCCTCCACTTCTACAAGGTGAGGAGGATACTTTCTGGATCCATTTCTGTCCGTGAGGAAAAAATGTTTTAAGGGAATTCCATGCAGCATTGGAGATAGATGTTTGTATGTGCTGCCTGTGAGAGTTACCGCAAGGCTTTCTGCAGTCTCTGCATGCAGTCTGGGGCGACTGGATGATGTTTCTTGGATTGCAGGAACTTTTGGACATGAGGAAGCAACATGTTACTGGGAGGAAAAAGCCCAGTGCAGAGCCAGAGAAGCTCCCAGCCCTTCTCCTCACTGTATCTGAACACACAGAACTGCTGTCAGCTGACTCATTAGTCAACAACAATGTTAACATTGTTAAGGTAAAGCAGTTTTGGTCATTTGCAAGCTAACCACTAGGGGACAGACTGATACAGATTTATGGGCCACATTAACGGTTTTCACAGTCTGTGCGTAACCTGGGAACAAACATTTTCATGCACAATCATAATTTATCGAAACATTTGCATGTATATTTAAGATCAAATTTAAAACAAAATCACACGTATGCAAAAATAACCTTAGAAACATTTAAATTTTTTTTAATATTAACAGCTTATAATTTGTATAAAATTAATAGTAAGAATATATATATATTATAGAAAATATTTTAAAAATAATAATGATATTATTAATAAAAATAATAACTGTGGTATACATAATTTGTTTATATAATTTAATAATAATAATATAAAAGTATATATTATATATAATTAAAAAAAGAATTATATATTTGCCAATTATATAAAAATAATACAACATTTATAATATAATATGTCTGTGCGTAACCTGGGAACAAACATTTTCATGCACAATCATAATTTATCGAAACATTTGCATGTATATTTAAGATCAAATTTAAAACAAAATCACACGTATGCAAAAATAACCTTAGAAACATTTAAATTTTTTTTAATATTAACAGCTTATAATTTGTATAAAATTAATAGTAAGAATATATATATATTATAGAAAATATTTTAAAAATAATAATGATATTATTAATAAAAATAATAACTGTGGTATACATAATTTGTTTATATAATTTAATAATAATAATATAAAAGTATATATTATATATAATTAAAAAAAGAATTATATATTTGCCAATTATATAAAAATAATACAACATTTATAATATAATATTATCATTCAAAAAATATTTATATTACTTTAAAAAGTAATAAAATACTTTTTAATAAAGACTTTTTTAATCCTAAAATAAATAAATAAACATAACAGACTAGATTATACACTGTATCAGCTTCAACTGGGAAAAACCTACTTAACATTATTCTCGGTCAGTTGCTTGATGATCTGACAGAAGATTTCATCCTTCAGAGGTTCAGCCTTTAAAGCTCCCTCAAAGATCTGATCAGTGAGCTCATTGACTGAACGGCTCCTCTTCGAGGGGTAGTCGCCCATGTACTTCATGATTGGTATGACAGAGTCAAGGGCCAAAATGAGGGAAAAGTTAACACTATTAAATGACAAAATGTTATAAAGTTAACACTATTAGATGTAGAGGATATCAATAAAGGCCTGGCAGGCATCCTGGGACAGCTCTTCATGATTGAGGACTTTTTTCAGCAAAGGCTGTTTGAGAGGTTCTCTGGTGCAACACCACAGTTTATCCTTCCCTTTGCCTTTATTGATGATCACACGACTCAGTGTGCTCTTGGAAGGTGTTCTAGAGGATGGAAAGATACCAGAAAATGTAATGAATCCAGAATTTAATAATAAAAAAAGGTAATGCAATGAAATCAACATGCAAAATTATGAAATAGAATCATAGGTGCGGTGCCTGACACAAAGATATTGTGCAGTTAGGGTTAGGTGTAGGTTTAATTAATCCTTGAATGTTACTGGCCAGATGTTGATGCTGATTGGTTGGTAAGGTCCTCCTCCCCTCTAGTAATATAATAAACCTTTTTGTTTGCACTAAACCTCCTTTTCTCCTCTCTAAAACATTCGGACACAACAAAGGGAGGAAAGGTCCTGAAGAAGGTTCAAACACCTGAAGTGATCGTAGGAGAACTCCTCTAGAGTGTACGGCTGAACCTTCTCCCCACTGTCCAGCAGATTCCGATGGGACAAACTGATGGAGTCCTTACGCTGGTCTGGGGACATGGTAATCAACGACTGTAAGAAACAGAAATTAGAAGGTCAAAGAGACTATTCAATATCTCAGGTGTTCCTCGAGTGTGAGCAAGTGGCATATTTTGGTGCAAATGCTTGTTTTGACCATGAAAAATGATTTTCTAAGTTAAATACAATACACTGCCAGAAAAAAATGTGCAAAAATTATACCATTTGGGGTGCAACAGCTTGTAACCCTTAAAGGGACAACTTTGTGTATAATTAGCACCTTAGAGCAGTGATATGTACCGTTAAGGTACTACTATGAACCATTTAAGAGTACATAAGGCACAAAGTTCTAAGGGCACATTTTTTTCTGAAAGTGTACAATGAAATGTACTGAATGAAGATTCCCTCACCACAATATCATACTGTGGCCTGGTGATGGTGGGCAGCACATAGACACTGTCTGCAGGGAAGTCACCTCTTTTTTTGGTTCTATCATTGACCCCGTGAGCCCAACCTGAATTCAGGACCTGCTCTCCAGTGTGCTCATCCAGAAAGATCAGATCTCCCTTTGAGAATCTCAGGAACGAAGAGTCATGTCCAGCTGGGAAAACAAACAAAAACAAGTGTTTCTGTTCATCTTCTAGATGTTTTATTGATTATGCTGGACCTTCTTGTCTTGACCCAAAGTCTGTTTGGGGCTGAATCAAATACAATGGTTATGTCCTTGGTTTCTAGTGCACTTTTAAACCCAACTGCTGCCCATATGTGCTCACCAGGGTAATGGCTGTCCACCAGGGCCACCACAAACTTTGACCTAGAACGCAGGCCCTCTAGAAAGGTGACAACCAGGTCACGGATGTCTTCGGCATTGTTGGATGTGAAGGTGTACTCATCTCCTTTAATGGTGGCCAGAGTGAAGCTCTGTCCCTGCAGCTTTCCACCTCTGCATACATGTGTTAGATTGACCAAAACTAGTAAAATTACAATATAAAGAACACTTACAGCATATGAAGTGGGTTTGGATGGATGTGCTACTGCACCTGCTACTGGAGATTGCAGTGATCTCTGGGAAAGAAAGGTCTAGAAGGACCTGCTCTTGCTCATCCACAAAGTAGACTCCGGTCCAGTTCACTGCCACTATAACATCATTCTTTGGGAGACTAGGCCCTGCAAATGAACAGAAACAATGGCCTGAGAGTTTTATCACTCCTCTAGAGTGTACGGCTGAACCTTCTCCCCACTGTCCAGCAGATTCCGATGGGACAAACTGATGGAGTCCTTACGCTGGTCTGGGGACATGGTAATCAACGACTGTAAGAAACAGAAATTAGAAGGTCAAAGAGACTATTCAATATCTCAGGTGTTCCTCGAGTGTGAGCAAGTGGCATATTTTGGTGCAAATGCTTGTTTTGACCATGAAAAATGATTTTCTAAGTTAAATACAATACACTGCCAGAAAAAAATGTGCAAAAATTATACCATTTGGGGTGCAACAGCTTGTAACCCTTAAAGGGACAACTTTGTGTATAATTAGCACCTTAGAGCAGTGATATGTACCGTTAAGGTACTACTATGAACCATTTAAGAGTACATAAGGCACAAAGTTCTAAGGGCACATTTTTTTCTGAAAGTGTACAATGAAATGTACTGAATGAAGATTCCCTCACCACAATATCATACTGTGGCCTGGTGATGGTGGGCAGCACATAGACACTGTCTGCAGGGAAGTCACCTCTTTTTTTGGTTCTATCATTGACCCCGTGAGCCCAACCTGAATTCAGGACCTGCTCTCCAGTGTGCTCATCCAGAAAGATCAGATCTCCCTTTGAGAATCTCAGGAACGAAGAGTCATGTCCAGCTGGGAAAACAAACAAAAACAAGTGTTTCTGTTCATCTTCTAGATGTTTTATTGATTATGCTGGACCTTCTTGTCTTGACCCAAAGTCTGTTTGGGGCTGAATCAAATACAATGGTTATGTCCTTGGTTTCTAGTGCACTTTTAAACCCAACTGCTGCCCATATGTGCTCACCAGGGTAATGGCTGTCCACCAGGGCCACCACAAACTTTGACCTAGAACGCAGGCCCTCTAGAAAGGTGACAACCAGGTCACGGATGTCTTCGGCATTGTTGGATGTGAAGGTGTACTCATCTCCTTTAATGGTGGCCAGAGTGAAGCTCTGTCCCTGCAGCTTTCCACCTCTGCATCCACACGATAGATTGAGCAAAACTAGTTAAATGACAATATAGAGAACACTTACATCAAATGAAGTGGCTTTGGCTGGATAAGCTACTGCACCTGCTGCTGGAGACTGCAGTGATCTCTGGGAAAGAAAGGTCCAGAAGGACCTGCTCCTGCTCATCCACAAAGTAGACTCCGGTCCAGTTCACTGCCACTATAACATCATTCTTTGGGAGACTAGGCCCTGCAAATGAACAGAAACAATGGCCTGAGAGTTTTATCACACCCAATCTGATCAGTATGTCTTACTCATTTTTTAATATGATTTACAGAATAACTCATAACGCATTATTCAGTTTGTTCCATGCAATTACAATGAATGGGCAGTGAAGTTTTAAAGTTTCAAAAATGCCATATAAAAGTATCATATAAACAGTCTGTATGACATTGATTTTAAAAATTGATGAACAGAGTCATCTCAACATCTTGACTCAGAAAT